CTAACTATTCTATGATTCTATAATGCAAGAAATAGGTAAGCAGCCAGTGAGTCCATGTTGCTCACCACTATAGCTTTCAAAATGTTTGGTTTACTTCAGACTGCCTTACTTCTTTATCTGTTTTTCCTTGCAGCTACATGACACATAACAAAAGCCCTCATTCTTTTACCAAAGCCTGCTTTCTCCTCTGGGACCAAGCAAAATAATGTTTTCTTAAAAGGTAATTTGCTCGAGAGATTTACTTTGTGTGATTTAGTGCATTATTACAGACAGCTCTGAATTTATGCAAACTAACATTTTCCATCAAACCATGCAGAATTAAGTATCAAGCATATTATTTTGGTTTTAGAACAAATATTTAAACTAATAGCAAAGCCAACAGGATCAGCTGTCACACTCAATAGCAGCAACTCCTTTTTTGTTGAGACATTTTCTTTCTTCTGTTCCCTTTCCTAACCTTTAGGAGATTCTTAAGACTAATCTGGTCACTAAAAGGAGAACAAAATGAGTGGCTTCTGTCAGTCAAATAGACACATTCACTTTGCAGTGCAGCCCATGCAACTTCTTTACTTGCTTATCTTATCACAATGTGTCCTGAGAAGTCTATCTGCATTATGATCTGCTTATGGGACTGGAAGGATTGACATAAAAACACTTAAAAAGTTTCTTATGGTATATAAGGTGATTGCAGGCATTAAGCACAGAATAAACTCCTTAGCCACTTTCCTCCCTGCAGCTAAACCAGGCTGGCATTGGCAGAGAGAAAAAATAAGAAAAATCATGAAAAACAAGATTGCTGGGGTCTAATTCAACCATCCCTGAAGTTAAAGAAAGAGTTTTCACTGACATTGAAAAAGACATTGAAAGAGATCGATCTGCTGCTAAGGTCATACAGGCCATGGACAATATTTGAAGTTTTCCACAGAACAACTTGTAGCATTTTTGAATTCAAACTCAGCTGAACTGTGAATAAACTGTGAAGCAAGTGGAAAAGCAGATGAATTCTTTTCCTGGTGCCTGTAGAACAGTGACAGGCGTCTGGGTAGCCAGCTAGGGAACCAGAAATTCTTACTGCTCAGAAGAAATAGGATATAACTGATTTTGCAAATACATGGTGGGATGATTTACACAACTGGAAGTTAAAAATAATTAGCTGAATCAGGTTTACAGAAAAAGAGTAGGTAAAAGAAGTGAGGGTGGCACTCTATGTTAGAGACATGATTATCTGAGTTAGAGCTATTGTCAACAAGAAAAGATCGTACTTTTCTTGTTGACCTCAGTTTTAAAGACCTATGCTGGATGTTGTGTGCAGTCTGTAGTAAAACATCATTAGAGTTTCTAAAAATGATAGATTATAATTATCTAACACAAAAGGTATTGAACCTAGCATAAAGTAATTCTATTCTGAGCCTCATTACATTGAATAAAGATGAACAGACCAGTGGATCTAATTACATTTATTATGGGAAAACAGAGAACAGTAATATATATACTTTGTACTTCAAAAAGAGTGAGTTTTACAAAGCAGGAGAAAATTATGAGAGATAATTGATTAGGAAGAATAAATACAGACAGCCACCTGTGAAAGCAATTTGAAAGTTGTTTAACAAGAATTTATGAGATGTCCGGACACCATATCTCATAATTAAGAAAGAAATAGTATGTCTGTGTGCTAAAAGCCCTCCTACTTCAGGTGTGAAGTGAATATATCAATTAAAATAAATTTTTAAAAATAACAAAAGGGAGAAAAGGAGAATGATAGTAAAAACTGTAAATTATAAAGCATAGCAAAGAGATATAGGAACCAAAAGACACTGGTAAAAAAGACACATCTCCCAGGAATTCAGACAGTGAGAAAACAATTTTTAGACATTAGGAAAAAAAAGCTAGGCTTAGTGTAAAAATTTGAAACAGAAATACTAATAGTTGTATAAATTAAATATGAAAGGAAGAGTATGCCCATATTTGTGGCTGTCTATACTTGTCTAAAAGCACTAGGAGAAACAGCTGAATAAAGTTAAAAGGGAAAGTTTGCATTACCTGCTACAGAGCACCATATATGTGATTTCATTCAAATGGAAAGATAGAAAAACTGACCTATAGATAAGTGTTATGGGAATGAAGTAAAGGACAGTATCTGTAAAACATGCTGATAAGGAAAGCAACAGTGTTGTGAAACTCAGGAATTTTGCCTAATATTCATGAGGGATGAGAAAAGAGATAAGGCAAAAGATCCAAACATGAATCCATTCCAGAAGACTATAAAACGTAAATCCAAAATCTGTTCGTCATCACTAGTCAAGATGAACAACAGATACATGGTGAGCACTTGACTGATGACATGCCTTGTCCTCCTTGGTGCATATAAGTGATCCTCACCAAGCCACCAGGACACCCACCACAGTGCTGTTCAGTATGTGGATGTGGGAGTGGGAAAAATCAGATTTTCTAACGTAAGACCACCTTCCACTTCTCTAAGATCTCTCACTGAATTTTGCTACACTTATTTCCTATATTATCAGTAGAGGAAGGATTTAAAGTTGTTCTTAGCTCTGAAAAAAAGATATAACTTCATAAGTAATCTCTGTAGAAAATCAGGAGGATGTGTTTATAGTACAGGAGAACAACATACTATTTTTAAATTTTTCAGGATGGGCATTATGCTATTCTGCAGAAGACATTTAAAAGTTAAATTTCAGAGTTTCTAAGCTGTGTGTCTACAATCCATTGTGTATATATTCTTTTGCCCAGAAAAAAACCAGGCGTATCTGACAGAATATTTGTCTTAGCTGTACTAACAACCTACCTTAACATAGATGTGAGATGTAAATTGAGGTGCCTATTTTTTCCAAGCTTGGACTTGGACAATTAACTACTGGATAACTACAGTTACTATTTAAGTGGATGTTAAAATTTATCTCATTAGTATTTTGAGAGCAGAATGCCCAGAAAGTTTGCACTTGGGAGATGTAACAAAACATACATCTGACCTGATAATACTCTTATTCAATCATTATCATATGTGGAATATTCAGAAGATCGTGAATATCATTCCAGTATTTTAAAAGCCAGTTAAATCCTAACTAGTGAAACCTGGCAACAATCCTGAGAAAAAGAATGCAGAATAAAAAGTTAGGAATATAATTAGTGCAAATCATTATGGTTTTGGAGAAAGAGTCCTTACAATCCTTAGTAAACACACTTGACATAATTCTTGATGATTTTGTAATATAGACAGTGAAAGATAAATAATATGTTTAAACTTTTTAAAGGAATTTTGACACATTAATGCACAACATTCTGATTTAAAAGTAGCGCAACAATAGTATACATCTTAAATGGATTAACAACTGTCTCAATTACAGATCCCCAAAAAGTAAATGTCTGCATGTATCTATTGTCAAAGGAATGAGCTTCTGCTAGGGTTAGGAGGTTATCTAGTAGAATAATTGGCATTTGGTCCAGTGTTATTCAATGTAGTCAACAGTCATCTGGAAGAAGATAGAAAATCAGCATTGATCACAGCGATGTCTGAGAAGGGAAAAAGACCATGGAGGTCAGTAAGCAAGTAGTTCTGTTATCATGACCTAAGATTAAGGGATTTGCTGTATTTTTAGTTTAGTGATAATAAAGTTGTATCTTCACATAAATACCACACCAACACAGACTTGCATCAATTCAGGAAAATGATTTATTTTAAGTTATAAGAAATGCTAAACAACAAAATTCTTTTGTGGAAGTGTACTGAAGAGCAGGGTTCTTGAATTTATCTCCCTATGCTTTCAAGAAGATCATGAAGGAGGATTTCCTGTATGGTTTATATGCCTAAGCTATGTTCATGCAGGGAATCAAATACAGAGTTGGGAAAACAGCTAGGCTTAAATGAACTGTTCCAGTAGAGTAACTACAGATGGTGAGAAAAGCTAACAGAGCTAATTCAGCAGTCTGGCATATTAGCATGTGTTCTGCATATAGGAGAGCTGTACTAACTGAATAATTTTCAGTTAAATTCTTCTTAATTTATTTTCCCATCTGATTAAGTCTTAAGGTGAAATGTCTCTCTCTCTTTCTTTTTCTCTCTCCTTTTTTTTTTTTTTTTTAGTATTACTTTTTACTTCATTTTATTTCATTGTCTTTTGGAATGTGTCAACTCTGACTATGATTTGATCTTTATTTTTTAATGACCTTTCAATCTTCTTTGTTTTCCAAAGTCTCATACTACAGGTTAAAACAGCGTATAAATGAAGCATTTTACCTGGGACTAAGTAGTCTTAAAAATGAACATGATGGAATTTTTATACCATCTCAGACTGCTTGGCTGTGATAATTTGTGCATTTTTCTAAACACATTTTATTTCCTGTGGAGGTTCTTGCCCTGAAGTGAAGTAGTGTCAAACAGTGGTATGACGGCAGAAAGCCCACTTCTTGCATTCTACACTAATCCAAATATCTAGTGTTTTTAAACAAGCAGCCAGCCTTGCTGATGTGGGAAACACTCCCATATAGTTCAAATATTGCAGTCAAACCACCAACAAATGCCAAAATGTTTTGATGTGCAGATGTAATTTTGAAACCCTAATCTGCTTGCTTTGTATTGTAGGTGGATTGGTAATTTCTGGTGGTGGCTGCCATACCTGGTGGTTTCTCCTTGGGGGTATTTTGACGAGGATGATAAGTAGCTTCTAGCTGAGACTGACCTTTCCTTACACGCCCCTTCTGCTGTTGCCCTTGACATTTCTTCAAAGGCTGGTCACCGCTTTAGCCCTCAGCCCTTTCTTCTTTCTAGGCCCAGCTGCCTATGGTGAAGACTACTCTGAATGTCTGACAAGGATCTCCACCCAGGCACATGTATTCACTCATTGACAAAGAAGAGCCTGCTTCCATCTTCAGTCCAGAGAGAAAATACCCATGTCTTGCAAATGTCTTTGAAAACAAGGGAAGATGCAGCCTGCTGGGCAAGCTTGGCATCCCTCCTTATACATGGATGGATGGAGTGATGGCAAATAACACCACCACTCCAGCTGTTTAAAAAAATCCCCTGTAACCAACTGTGCGAGTGTTATTTCCCCATGCTGGTCTTTTTGTAAACAGATCACCTTAAAATAGCACATATAGAGCTGAAATATTTGACTTCACACTAGAATGATTAGAAATAAAACCACTCAGAAAGGAGCACCTCCCATGCAGAACACTAAAACTAAGAGCTGTGAGGCAATTTAAGAAACAGTTCCTGTTGCTGCTCATTTTTAATTGATGCCTCACAGCTAAGGCTGGCTGTGTCACAATTTCGACATGAGAACACAGGATCAGAAGACTCAATAAGACCAAGCGCTGCAGCCAGGCTGGACCAAATGTGCATTGATAAATGATAGAGAAATTACCTGTGTCCCCCTTCCACTAGGAAAGAATTGGTGAAATTTTGATATGCTCTGTCTATATTCTCTGTACAGTCACTCCTCATGACAGGGGCACAAAAGCTACCTTCAGCAGCATCCATGAAAGGATTTCTTTATGGAGGACAAATTTTCCACAGATAGATAAATCAACTTAAGCAATGTTCTAAGGTTGCTGAGCAGCTTCAAACAATAGAACACAGCTTGATACTTGTATTGTGACATTGCGTTAACAACAAAATAAGTGCTTATTAAATATAACTTTTTCTTTGAAACTAAGCTACTTAAATTTGGTGATGTTCAGGAAATTGTCCTAACAGGAAGTATTGCTTTTGGAAAGGTAAGAAAAGAAGATCAAACCCAAAATGTGTTTTGAAATCTGACAAAGAGTCTTTTGTCCTTTAACTTCTGATGGCCATCTCTAACTTTCAGCTATTTTGTAGAAATTTGATAACATAATAATACATGAAACCTTTTTTTTTTTTCCCTTCCCTTTTTTTTTCCTCTTTTTTAAATGGAAAAACCATTTCTGGCAAGGCAGAAAAAGCACTGTCATTTCACCACTACATACTTACTGTATTGGCATGTTCGGAGCTCTCCCATTTCTCTCTACTAACCATGTTCTGTATCCAAAAAGCTGCAAAACCAGTTACGTCCACAGTGTTTGCTTTCTATTTTTAACTGAAAGCTGAAGTTTACAAATTCTGGGAAAATTATGTCAAATGCATCAGCTGAAAAGAAACCTTACCATTTCTGTAGAATGGTTTAATTTAGAAATTATAAACTAAATTTTGAAATTGGCAATCACTGATCCATCATTTTAAAAAGAAAATATACAGTGCAAAAATAGGTTTGTTTAATAAGGTCTGAATTCAGGAGACAGGAAAAAAAACCAAACCAAACCAGTCCCAAAACCCCACCTCTATCATCCTACAGTCTGTGTTAGGTAGCAAATGAAATTATATGATATAGAATCATTGAACAGTTAGGGTTGGACAACAATATAAACAGCAATAAGGAAATGTTAGAAGTTAGAATTATGCTCTGATTAAACTAACAATTAAGCGTGAAAAAGCAGACACCTGTGGGGAGGACTGTAAAAGGCTGTCTGTGATATTGTCTTTGGAAGACTTATGCTTTGGTTTAGGTTGAGGGTAGTCTTACAAACATTAATAGACTGAATTCAGCAGGGGAGTAAGCTACTGTACGGGTAAGGCCTATGCTGACACCTACCTGCGGTTTAATTATACAGTGACCCTTTGGGTCAAAAGATATCGTTTGAACTCCAAAATGCAGGTTAAGGGGAAAAATAACAATGCTGTGAGTACGGAACAAATGAGAGAAGCTTGCTACAACCTGGAAGAAACTGAGAAAACATCACTGTTCTTACGTTAATATGGAAGATGACTCTGTGGCTTTTATCTTCCCGATTCTTTCATAGACTTGGTTTATTTGTGATGTTTTTAAACTCAGTCTGTTATGTAAATGTTTTCCAAAGATTGTTTTCATAGGAAATAAATCATGTTCTGTTCTTTAGGCCAGTCAGTGAAAGTCATGATCAAAACCAGCATGATATCAAAAGCTACTGCTACATGTATGCTATTTGCAGTCTGGACACAGCCAGATATCTTGTCTTTTTAACAAAGCATATTGTTAGATGGCAGAAAGGTTGAATTTTGAACACTTCTGTGAATTTCATGTCAAAAGAAATACTAATTACACTGCAAGCTACTTGGGTCATGAAACCTGTACTGAAGTGGAGCTAAGCGGTTGGAGTGGGGAGATTTGAGTGACTCAAGCTGTGTAGGTGAATGTCTCAGCTCCTAAATGAAGTGACACCTGTGACTTATACAAAAACATTTCTGTAAATGAAGTCCTTGAAAACAACCAAAAAAGATATCTAATCAATATCTTCATTTTTATATCAGTAATAGTAACTGAGGTACTTCTGTTTCAGTACATAAAGGCATAGACTTTTTAATCAAAATATTCTAGGGCATGTATTTAATATTATTCTTCTGGCTCTAATGCAGCTGAAAGCTGAAGATATCTGCATCTAGAGTGAAGCTTGGATGAAACAGGCAATGCTCATTCATATGATGGGCACTCCATTTTTCTCAGAAAACGTCTCAGAAAAAAATACTGCTTTAATTTAAGGACTTCTAATCTTTCTTTTCTTATTGATGCTCATTCCACAATCCACTTGAAAAGGACTGCTATTCTGTGGCTGGAAGAATAGAATAGTACTTTGTACACGTCAATGATTATCTAGTGTTTGAAGAATTGCTTCTTTTCAGAGCCCTCCTCATGGGTCAGGCCTGGGAATCCTTGTATCACCTAGAAGTGGGGTGTTAGCTATAAACCCTACAAAGCTAAGACAAGCACCTTCCTTCTTGATGAGATCCAGCAGAGCTGGGCTCCTAGACCACCCTCACAGAAACTGTCTGCTGGATACGAAACCTGAGGGAGTTGATAGAAAACACCAAAGACAGAAGCATGCCTGAAACACTTGTCTGCCACATGGCCTCATGTCCATGACTGTGGATGGAAAATTCCGAAATGAAGATTTAGACCATTAAACTCACCTCTTCTGCTTGGGTTCCTGAAAGCAGTCAGTGGCACTACCCACTCAGGAAGTGAGAGAAGAGTAGCATGCCCCTTCTGTGAGGAGACCTGTTTCTGTCAAGGATTCTTGGGTTTTGCAGAGCAGAAGAGGTTGCGCAGGTTTGGTCAGAAAAAAGAGAGAATTTGGGTGGGTTTGATCCAAGTCAAGTCCTCTGTCAGGCTGGAATAGCAAATGTGAGTACAAATGCTCATATTTCATCATGTCCTCAGTGCTGTAAGAAATATTGAGGTTAAAATTTCTGTAGAACTAGTTAACTGTATTGTGTTTCCACCTTACCTTTCTTCAGTCATCAAGAACAAAACAGAGCCTGACCAGTCTGACTAATGCGTATTGCTTAATTTCAATTCTGTAACATAAAAGAAGAAATGTCACAGAAGCATCTTTCCTAAATTAGATCTTTTTATGAATAGCTGTTGTTCAAAGGTTTTGTTGGTCTTGTGCTGATGGAAGTTAAACCACATAAAAGTGTCATTTGTCCTTAAATATAGAGAAGAAAGTGAGGGGAAAAAAAAAACCAAAAATACACAGTGCTCTGTGAAACTAAAGCACCACTGTGGTTTTTACTGAATAAAACAAGCATAATCCTGTTTCTTTCAGAAACTGTTTAGTGAAAAGCATGTCTATATATTTTATATGTATTTTTAAACACCTACATAAGTTTGCACAATCTAGAATCTCAGCTGTGAGAAGAATCACCTTAGTAATGTACTTAACAAGACCAAAGGCTGCATGAGGCGTACAGAAACCGCAGAGGAAACAAATGCAAACTGTGATGTCGTTCTAATGCTAATTTCTTTCCAGAGGTCTGTTAAAAATTTTTAGACTGAAGACAATGGTCATTACTGGATTTATCAACAGTGCTGTTGTAGTTTAACTCCAGCCAGCAACTAAGTACCGTGCAGCAGCTCACTCCTCCCACCTCAGTGGGATGGGGAGGAGAATCGGAAAAAGATAAAACCCATGGGTGGGGATAAGAACAGAATAATAATAATAACAACAACAATAACAACAACAATAACATAGGAAAAAGAGAAGGAGGAATAAAATTCAGGGAACACAAGTGATGCACAGTAAAATTGCTCACCACCCACTAACCGATACTCACCCCATCCCCAAGCAGCAAATGGAGGCTTCTGGCCAACTCCCCCCAGTTTATATACTGAGCATGACATGCTGTTATATGGAATACCCCTTTGGCTAGTTTGGGTCAGGTGTCCTGACTGCTTCCTCCCAGCTTCCCATGCCCCTCACTGGCAGAGCATGAGAGACTGACAAGTCCTTGATCAGGGTAAGTGCTACTGAGAAACAACTGAAACATTGGTGTGTTATCAACATTGTTCCCAGACTAAAGCCAAAGCACAGCACTGCACCAGCTACTAGGAAGAAAATTATCTCTATCCCTGCTGAAACCAGGACAAGTACTATTTTTAATTTGAATGAAACTTGTACAGATGCTTCTACAGTTGCTTAATTTTATGGATATTGAACCTGTTTCATTAATATGCATGTTGACTGAACGAACCTTCTAAAATGTGCTTCTAATCACACCAGCATTAAATATTAACTAGGAACCTAACTATATCATTCAGTCACATTCTCTTTTTCCTAGCTTATCATTATATGTGCGTTGATATGAGCAGACATTTTTCCTGATTATTTCATTTATCATAAATAAACACATTCTTACGATTGTTACTTACTTAGCTGAATGTAGCAGTGCTTCCACCATGCAGTTAGGCAAAAGCAATGTTCAATGGGGGGCAGGCTTGGGAGTGTGCCTTCTAGTAAACATACTGCCTCAGAAATTTTGTGCTATCTTTTCTTTCTCTTTTTCTTCTTCAGGGAATATTTGTCCTAGGATTGCCATATGCTCTTCTCCACAGTGGATACAGTGGCCTGTTCCTTATCATCTTGGCTGCAGCATTATGCTGTTACACAGGCAAGATTCTAATCGCTTGCCTGTACGAAGAAAATGAAGATGGTCAACTCATAAGAGTGAGAGACACATATGAAGACATTGCAAATGCCTGCTGCAAAAGGCTATCTCCCAAACTAGGTGGCATAGTTGTCAATGTGACCCAGGTGATGGAACTGATCATGACATGTATTTTGTATCTGGTTGTTAGTGGGAACTTGCTGTCACACAGTTTTCCACATGTACCAGTGACTGAGAAAACTTGGTCTGTAATTGCGTTTGTTACACTGTTGCCTTGTGTATTTATCAAAACTCTCAAAACTGTTTCCAAACTCAGCCAGCTTTGCTCCCTGGTCCATTTCATTATCATCCTTGTAGTAATGACTTACTGTCTCACACAAATACATCAGTGGTCCTTGGCAAAATTCAGACTCTCTATTGAGTTTGAGGACTTCTTGGTCTCTGTAGGGGTGATCATTTTCAGTTACACTTCACAAATATTTCTTCCCACGCTTGAAGGTAACATGAAAAGCCCAGGGGAATTTAGTTGTATGCTGAACTGGACTCACTTTTTTGCTTGTGTCTTGAAAACAGCCTTCGCACTGACTGCATTCTTGACCTGGGGCAAAGAGACAAAGGAAGTTATTACTGACAACCTGCCATCCTTTCTTGAAACCCTAGTGAATTTGTGTCTCTTAGCCAAGGCTCTTCTTTCTTACCCTTTGCCTTTTTTTGCAGCCACAGAAATTGTGTATGCTTGTATTTCTAGAGAAAACCAGTCCAAATACAGATCTCCACTATTTTCTCTGGGTGTAAGAGGCTCATTTCTCCTGTTAACTCTGCTGATGGCCATGTTCATACCACATTTTGCCATGTTGATGGGTTTAACAGGCAGTGTAACAGGTGCTGCTATGACTTTTCTTCTTCCTTCTCTTTTCCATTTAAAACTCAAATTGAAAAAACTGTCCTTCTTAGAGAAATGTGCAGATATCTCTGTTTTTACTTTGGGTTTCCTTTGTAGCCTTGCAGGCATAGTTTGCTCAATAAAAGGGCTACTTGAAGTGTTTGGAGGAGTGTAAAAAGATTTCCAGAAATCCAAATAAGGCTCAAATCTTGTAAATGCTTTTACCCTGTTAGTCAGTATATAAGAGATTTTGTGACTAGGTAAAAACAAGCATATGCTTCAATGTTTGCAGGATCAGTGTTCTAACTGTATACATGTGTGGTTCAAAGAAAGTTGGAAAATAAGGTTCATAGCCAAAAAGTACAAAATTTCTCTTATTTAAAATATTGAGAGGAAAAAGGTGTTGGAAGTGGTTTATCATGAAAATAATTTTAAACTAATCCTATATGGTTTTGTTCATACATGACATGCACATCCTAAAATGGTTGCTGCAAATGATCTCACCAATTTAACCAGATTTTCTCACAGGGTTTGATACTGTTCAGTCACAAAGCTATCAAATCTGGCTTACAGGATATGATAGAGTTTGTGAGAGCTATCATTGCAAAAGGATGAGGTATGACTTCACATTATTGGCAGAATGTAATTCAACATGTGAAGAGAACAAGTCAGTGAATTTATTTTTTTATGTAAGAAAAGTTCTACCACTTGTTTTTTAAATGAATAAGCAAAAAGAGAACTGTTCACAATAGCTTTGAAAGCTTGATTTTATAATGAGTTCAAATGCAGATAAAGTCAGACTAAAATGGGCATTCTAACAGCACACAGCCACAGAAAAGGCAATTTGTTCTGAAAAGCTATAGCCAATGACTGCGGCTTTTCTGCAAGTCTAATTCCTAAGATTCATGCCTCTGCAATGCAGTTATTCTATTGGTTGTCTTACAAGAAGTCCCATTGGTAGCATGAAAAAGTTAATACGCAGTTCACTTTCCCCCTTAGGCAGGAAATTTCTTTGATCTTCATATTTTATCTGATGACATTAAAAGCTCAATGAAGTAAATCAAGTTCAATAAACAGACACACAATTAACTTCCTGTACAACTTGCTAGATCTTTAGCTTTAAAAGATATCAGCTTAATAAAAAGATCAACATTGCAATGCATTTCACATTAGTGATAAAAGATTATGAGAAGAAGCAATCTAATCAGAGTACTCTAATGAATATATATCATCTTATTGTACTAAATCTATGTTAGGTAATTAAAGTAATGATTTGAAGGAATAAAGTTTACATTTTCATTATGAACAATTTCACACAACCTTCTACTGCATCACATGAAAAAGTCTTTGCATGTCAACGTAAGACTGGATTATAGAGTAAAAAGCCTAAGAGTAGCCACTTAACTGAACTATTTTTCTATGTAGTATCTTAACATTAACGCTTCCGTCCTGCGTGAGCAACAGTGACCTCTCAAGGCTAATTTGCTGAATGATAAGTACAATGCAATTAACTTTAGACTAGTTCTGGTAAACCTTATGTGTCACCCTGTTTGTTTCTTTGTCTCCTAATGTATGCTTGTAGTGTCGACTAGTGATTAAAATTTTATTAGAACAAATTAATTGTATAATTACAAAAATATTAAGAAACTTGAGGAAATAACTAGTCTCTTAGAACTTGTATCACTTCTTTGGCACAATGGATCAAGTTCTGCACTCAAATCCACAACTGTTTAATTTATTGACATTGAGATTTGTGCTGAAACAAATAGGAGGTATATATTTTAAGGAGTCTTTATTTTTATGCAGCATGACAAAAATACATTACTCATTCAAGTAATTGAAAGCTTGTTATTACCCCTATGACACAGTCTGAAAGATATTATTATTGGATGATGTCAATGAAAGGGTATCATTACTTTTGTGTGGAGAAGTTCCACAGATAAACAAACATCCAGAACAATATTTGTTCTATTTATCCTATATAAATCTCTGAGAATAGAGGAAGGTTGTGCAAAGAGTTTTGTAAAAATTGTTTCAGCTAATTTACTTAAAAACTCCCCATAAATAATTCACCATTTTTTCCCATCTCCTACTTTTATTTTAATATGTTTTATCTCTGACTCTTCAGAAATTCATGGAATTGCCTCAGTGCATTTGCCGGGAAAGCTTAGAAATGGGATAAGCACTTTATTTGTATGGCAGTTTTAGGAATTCCCTAGCTCATCAGTGTTATTTAAAGCTGACATTCGTTGAAATTTCTCCTCTCAGCCTTTTCAAGAAGCCAACATCTATTCCTTTCAAGCCAAAGATAATATTTTCCCCACACAAATAATTGTGTGAGGAAATGATTGTGAGAGAGCATGAGATTTCTCACTTATTCATGATCTTTCCAGTAAGGGGAGATGATTCATTTTTTATAAGACATGTACTATTATTGTCCTTATTTAATCATTTACATAGTCTTAGTTAACATCGGGGAACAGCACGGACTATGATTAACAAGTAAATATGACTGTAAATGCACAAAAGTGAAAGTTACCTAAGTGCAAAGCCTCGAGAAGTCACTTAGCAGAGGTCACTAGATTAAGAAAGAAAATATACTTCAAGGTTCCCTTTTTGTGACCAGCACTCAGCAATTTTGAAGTATGCCATTGTTGTGGGGCACAAAAGCTGTATGACCTTCCCTTTAAAGCCACGGCCAGACATCATCATGAGCAATTATTTTCTGGGGTCAAGATTAAATGAACCTTTCAATTCAAAAAGGCAGAGACAGATTTACACACCTGACAGCTCCAGCCTGAATGTGGGGCTCAGCACATGATAAAGACAAAAATTAATATTCATGGCATAAGGATGACTCATTGGATTTAATTTCCTAAAACACACAATTGCACATTTTTAGATATAGACTTATTCCTGACACTTTCCACTGGCAAAATTCTATTAATAATGTACATAAAATATTTGGAACTGTATATATTAGACATTAAATTACCATCTACAGAATATGTTAAGAGAGTCTAGAAAGGTGGTATTACTATCCAGTATGAACCAGGAGGCTCTGTATTTATCTGTAAAATGACTAGTGGGAATTTTTGTCACTAAATTTATGCTAACAATCATTAGAATCACTGAAGCTAGAAAAGTAAAAGATTGACTCAATATTAATCTGTTGTGGCCACTCCTGGATTATTCACTATTATATGATACTGATTTATCAAAATTAATTCTGAAAACAAACAACCAATAGTAGTGAACATGAAGAAAATGCTAAGGAAAAAATTATATGTTGAAATAAAACATTTTCAAACAGTCTTGCTTCCTTCGTTCTTCCAGCAAAACTGTAAGTAAAGGAACCTGTTTCCTTTCATCAAGAATATCACAGGCATTGCCCGAAATGATTCCCCATTTTGTAGGGATTGCAGTGTCAACACCAAACCCTGAATTCCTATTTCTGACAGTAGTGATGCAGACTTAAATGAATCGGATTACTCTAAAATATAGGCTCAAATAAAGTATCTCTTGCAAATAAACTGAGGAACTTCAAGTGTTTATTTATAAAGGCTTTTAAAAGCTTAAATTTGAAGTTAGGGTGAAAATCTTGCTCCCACTGACTTAGTGGGAGTATAATCATTGACTTCAGTGGACCAAGGCTCTATCATCTGTAGTCCATTAACAGTGCTTAGTTTACTTTTACACCAAATTTTGGTGATCACTTTACTTCATAACTTTTCTGATTTTTCCAGCAGTGAGATAAATGTTTTCCCTGTCAATGTCACTAAAATATTAGAGAGATGTCAGAAGAGCTATGGAAAGAAGTTCTAGAGGCTAATGCACTTTTATTGACTATTTGTCCTCAATTATTCTCTTCATTTTTATTTTGTGAAGTGATTTCTGAACTACCTGTACAAAATTCACTTTGCATTTACTGGTTGCACTCTGAAAGCAGTTGTATGAAAATGCAACAAGTAAGATGTTTTGCAAATGCTTCATTAAATCAACTTTCAATTTTCAGTAATTTCTTTGCAGAACTTCAGCATTTTAAAAACCGATATCTGATTTCCAGAAATCATTTATCCAGTTCTGCATTATTATTAATTATCTGGATGATCTATTTGTATTTGAAAATATTTATCTTCCAAAATTGAGTAGAAATGAAAATATATCTCAAAAAATATGTCGATTGTGTGCTGAGATTTAGTTGTCCCAAGAGCTCATGTCGGAAATAAAATGTCGGAAATTATACTGTATTCTGTAGTAGCTGGCAATGAATTTGAAAATACATAGTTTGGAAACCACTTATGTATTTTTGTCCTCTGCTTAAGTATTTGTCAAGCTGTTGCCACTTTGAAATTAACTGGTTTTCATTCTTCTGTGGTGTGATTACATTTTCTATTTGGTCACCCCTCAAACTTCTAACATATTGGTCTTCACACTGCCTCTTTGAGGGAGGGAAATTCCAAAAATCTTCATTTGAAGTTGCAAAGCCAATACTCAGAACATAGATTAGCCCAAAAGAGAAGCCTAAGAAAGCTCTAGGTTAATACTTTTCACTATACCATGCCTTCATGGTGATCCTGACAGTCAGCACTTCTTTTTTTCTCTCCTTCATCCTTTATTTTATCTCCTCTGTCAGGTTATACCAGGATAACATGAAGGCATATAACACTGCAAGCAGCCCATTACGCAGCATAAATATTTAACTGAAAACTGCCTTTCCCATTTAACTTTTTTGTCTTTTAAGACAGAAATAAAAAGAGATTCAGGAAAATGAAGTAGCTAAATAATTATGTATAGAGGGAAGCAGCAAGCGATATGAAAGAAAAAAGACACATGGGAGAGAAATTAAAGGTAGAGCAAGTGCACCAAAAAAGGCAAAAGAGGAAAGGAGGAATAAAACGTGGTGAGGGACTGGAAGAGGAAAGCTGGGAACTAGCAGAAAGTTGAGAGCAAGTAAAAATGAAAAGAAAGGGAAATAATCTGATGTAAGAATAATACCAACTATAAACATTTTCTACAGTTTCACATAAGTAGTAACTCAAGCTTCTCTAGTTGATGCAAGTCAATATATTTTCAGTTTCCATTTCTTCTACTTCCCCAAACCTCTCATGAATTCAAAACATTTAAAATAAAATCCTTCTTATTTCTCTGGAATTATCTCGGTGTTAATGTTTT